TCTCTAAATTATAAGAAAATGTTCAATTTAATCCCTAAATTATATGAAAATGTCCAATATGGTCATTTCATTAATTTAAGTGAACGGAATCTCTTATGTGCTTTCAATCCATTAAGTGTGGCTTCCAATCTATTAGCACGATTGACAACAAAAAAATGTTATGCTTGAATTATCCAAGTAAGATGAAAAATATAATAATTCATGTCATCAAATAACAATGGACGTGTTAACTTCTATTATTTTTTGTCTTTTCAGCATTATTTATAGTTCAATTCAATATATTGTCATTTGAGCAAATGGAATAACTACATTGAATATTTGGCAATAATTTAAAGATCATTTTAAACAAATTATAAGTTCAAGAACGATATTACATATTGAACTAACGTTTAAGAATTATTTGTGTCATTTTTTTATTTCGAAACAGGTCCTTTAACACGTGGCTCATAATCTTGTTCTGATAATTCATCTTTTTATGTGAAACTTGTTTTGTTGTCTTGATTTGCAGTTGGACTGCATATCTCTATTGTATATCCGTTGAATGAATAAAATGTTTCTTTTAAACATAGTAATTAAGCATCACAGCAATAAATAATTTATACTTGTCTTCACTATTATATAACACAAATATGGAGTCTCTTACCTTGAAAAGATCACAGTCACTACTTTTTCTAGGCCTAATTCCCAAAAAAAACCCAAACTTTACACTTTGTCCTAATTATATCCTGAACTTTTTTTTTTGTCTCAAGAAAAACCTCAAACTTTTATCCGAGTCCCAAAGCCCCCGCCCTCGGCCTCGTCGGGCGCGAAGGGCCGGCCGACGCGCGTAGTGCGACGCCGGGCGCGCTCCTTCTCAGCGTGTTTTTTTTTTTTTTTTTCGAAGTTAATTGGACGGATTTATAACGGTAGGGCAGATTTGGGACTCGGATAAAAGTTTGAGGTTTTTCTTGAGACAAAAAAAAGTTCAGGATATAATTGGGACAAAGTGTAAAGTTTGGGATTTTTTTGGGAATTAGGCCCTTTTTCTAGAATGAACTCCGCTGGTTACTTTTGCGAATGTGATATCAAGGACGAACGTGTGAATTAACAATTTTATCTTTCTCTCTCTCTCTCTCTCACTTATTTGAGTGGGGCATGGAGAGGGCAAGGTACAAATCTTCCTAATTCCTATGCCAACGGATTGGGTACTCTTCCCTTCTTTGAGATGCTTTTATGCTTTAACTCAGGAATGCTTTGTGACGAGAGCTTTTCCAACGAGCCCGGTATTGATAGGGCAAAACGAAAGATCGCGGATTCGAGTTTTCGAACCCCAATCGTGGTTACGGGCTCCGGTGAATGGATCGGCATGGACTAGGTGTTTGAAGACAAATAAAAACTAGAGGTTTGAAAAGTAATGTTCAATTCTAAAGAAGAGGTTAATACAGGACTTAAACGCGAGAAAATCCTAAATTAGCATACAGACTATTTATGAGTTCAATTTAAGTTAATATTAAAAATCCCAATTGATACTTATGACAAATTTAACCTAAACTAATTTTTTGACATACAAAAACCTCAAACTGGTATACATGTGACAAATTTACTCTCCGTTAGTTTTCGTTAAATTTTACTGTCAAATTGTTGAGTTAGATGATTCGTGACAGTTGACGGGTGTACCGATTTGGGGTTTTATCCTTTGTTTATCATGGTATATCAATTTGTGATTTTTCATAGTATTAATATAATTTAAGCGAAACTAACTGATGGGTGAATTTATTACTAATGTACAAGTTTGAGATTTTTTATGGTCAAAAAATTAATTTATGGTATATTTATCGCATGTATATCAGTTTGGGGTTTTTTGCGATAAAAAAATTAGTTTAGAGTAAATTTATCATAGAAGTATCAATTTGGGGTTTTTTGTTGTATTATCAACCATCAATTCTAAGACCTCTAAGTATGGTTATGAGCAACGGAACCTAATTCAAGTATTGGGAAAGTTTGGCTAAAGCTTAATCAGGATGTCTTCCTCACTTATTTTCGTTGCATCAGAACTTTTGCAACTTCTAGTTTCGTTGTCATTCAAAATTGAGAGATTGCAAACATCTCGACACAACGGAAAACGGGTGACCGGTTGGAAGGGTCGTAAAGTGGGCATTGAATATGAGTGATAATACGAGTATTAAAAGGCCATTTCTCTGTTACATAAATCAATTTCGCCCTTCATTTTAGTGAGACTCTCATTTCTCAAATTAGAAGAGTGTTCAAGTATTTTCAACAGGTCAAGATTCTTTATAATTTTAGGGAGGGAAATGGATGTGCAGATTGACTAGCAAATTGGGCTATTCAACCCAACAATGCGGGCGATAATTATGCATTAGATAGGCCACCGATAAGTTCCTTTGTTGTTAGAGATCAAATCGGATCATGTTTTGTTAAAAGAGTAGCGCTATAATTTTCGGACTCTACCCCCTTATTTATTAAAAAAAAAAGACTCGTTTCGATGAATATAACCCATTTTGAGTATTGAAAATTTTATACCTTATTACTTGTCTGTCAACTTTTAGTTAAACTTTTGGTCAATCCTAGGTCAACTAAAGAATCTATCGAAAACTGGGCCAAAAATTTGAGGTGTAAACAATTTTCACGGCCGAATTTCTTCCACCCTCTCTCGTCCTTTTTCTAATCCTTAATTTCCTCTAGATGAGCTTAGCGAACTTCCCTTTAAGAGATGAATAGACTCTTTCTCGAATTGTTTGATAAACAATTAATTTCCTTTAGAAAATTAGTTCATTTCTATTTTTTTGTCGAAAATAATTTTAATGTGAATATATATTATTTAATTTAATTTAGTTACAATATTCATCTTCCATTCTAATTAATCAATGTATGCGTAATCAATATACTTTGTTATCACCTAATAAGATATAAAATTGAGGATAACTGCACAGAAAGTCTTAAAACTTATTATGAAAGTGTAATTAAATTCTCAAACTTTCAAAAAGTGCAATAAAGTCCTAAAAGTTGTCAAATTAGTTCAATTAAGTCTTTTCGTTAACTCCGTCCAACTAGACTAATAAAAAATACTGACATGTCTTATTTTATTACTTTCATAAGACACGTGGTGACAATGTGGCGGCCACCAAGCGTCTCATTAGAAAATTATTCAAAAATTAAAAAGAAATACAAGCTAAATTAAATTGAAAAGATAAAAAAGCTAAAATTTAAAAAAAAAACACAAACTACAAAAAAAAAAAACTAACTTAATAAGAGGACCTTGCGATTGGCCACCGCCCCGCCCATTGCCAGAAAGGGCTGATGGAGGTCACCTAGGCCTCGCCGATGGTCAGCGGCCCTCGCGTTGACAATTTTCGCCGACCCCAGTAAGGGCCTACTAGCCTAGATCTAGGGGAGGGCGCGACCCTTACCCCGTATTTGAGCAAGGGCTCGTGAGACCTCGCTTCGGGTGGGTGACGCTTAGTAACCAAGTGCTTGTTCATCCTCCTTTTTTTTTTTCTGTACTTGGTTATCCTTGTTTTTTTATTTAATCTAATTTAAGTAAAATTTGAAAATAAAAATAAAAACTGTCACGTAGGAGAGAAAATCGGCATTTTTCATTTGTCAAGGTGGATGGAGTTAATAAAAATACTTGATTGCACCAATTTAATAAGTTGTAAGACTTGATTGTACTTTTTAAAAGTTTTAGAACTAAATTACTCTTCATTATAAGTTTAAGGAGTTCCATTATCCCATAAAATTATAAATGTAAATACTTCGATGCTATTATCAAATATCTTTGAATAATTAAATTTTCTCTTTTGCAATAAACAAAGTTATAATATCAACAAAATATTGTTTATTGTCACAGGCACGCGTTTGAGATGATATGTATTACTGTCGTAACTTTGATGATACATAATTAAAATTCAACAAAATATTGTTTCTTAAAAGAAAGATAATGATGTAGGAGTAGGACTAATCTATTAACTGAAAGTGTGTCACCTAGAAGATTTAGTTTTCTTCGCATGGTAGGCCAAAATAGAATGGAATCAAGAATGAAATGAAAAAGAATTGGAGCGACCATTCCAATCATGGAATCAGATTGGAATCGTCGTGCTTGGGATAGAAATTCTTGTGTTTGGTTGTAGAGCTGTTGATTTCTGACGTGAAATTAAAATAAATGAGATTCATAGTGTATAGTGAACACTCGACAAAATTATAAAATTCAATTATGACATGTGAATACGAATTGCCGGCCCTATTTGGTTGCACTCAACTATAATTCCTAAATATAATACTCGAATCATTAATTTTTTAGTATCGACCATATTGTTCATTAGTTTGAATCTATTAACTCTATTATAATATTATAAATTATCTTCAATGTTAAATTGTGTAGAACAATATTTTTATTTTTATTGAAATAATGAATTATTTAATACTAATGATATTCTTTTGTTATTTATAATCTATTCACCATAATTTAAACTTATCAGTTATTCACTAATGAGGGGAATAATATTGTTAAGGGTTAATACCACGAAAAACCTTAAACTGGTACATATGTGACAAGTTTACCCCACACTAGTTTTTTGACCATAAAAAATCCCAAACCGGTACTCTTGTGACAAATTTATCCTCCGTTAAATTGGATTAATACCACGAAAAATCACAAAATAGTAAATCTGTGACAAACAAAAGTATGAAACCCTAAACTGATACTTCCGTTAACCGCCACGTATCATCCAACTTATTAATTTAGCGGTAAAACTGAACGAAAATCGACAGAGGGTAAATTTGTCATATATATACCAATTTAAGATTTTTGGTAGTCAAAATATTAGTTTGAGGTAAATCAATTTGGGGGTTTTTTGTGGTATTAATCCTATTGTTAATGTGTGCATCACATAAATATTTAATTTCCATAATTCCTTTTTTTTTCTGATACGAGGAATGGAATCATGGTAAAGTAGAGGAAACATAAGGGAATCGAAGACATGTTAGCCCAACAACCTTAAGCCATGAAGCCCGCACAACAACCTTCTTCTTCTTCTCCAACCCAAGCCCTGTGCCTCGAGAATCCAGTGACAAGATCGAAGACCCACGTCGGGAAAGAGGGGAGTGAGCGACCGGGCGGACCTGCATCCCCGTTCTGGAGCGCTGACCGCCGTGCCCACCACTCGCCGCCGCCTCCAGCAGCATCAGGGTTTACAGAGATAGGGGCGAAGTCTTGGGCTCTTTGCGAAGGTGGGTCTTGATTTGTTTTTCGATTGGAGTCTTGCAGTGCTGACAAGTAGTTGACTTGGGTGATTCTTTGAATCTTTTTCCATTGTTCCTGCAATTGAATGCATTTCTTGGTTGATTACATACGTCTTTCAGTTGAATGCATTTGTTTCATTCGCTGTGAAATTGCATGCTGCTTGAACTTTTGCCCAACACTGCAATTCACGGGGGAATTGTAATTGGGGAGCAGGGTAGGGAATTAGGCGTTCTATCACGATGGACAACATTGTGGATTCCTTGAGCAGTGCGTACCAGGAGTTCCTTGCGGCCGCGGCGAGTGTTCTCGAGGCCAGGGAAGCGTCCGGGGCCCAAAAAATAGCTGCCACCGACGCTGCCCTGGAGAATTTCAAGCAGCACTGGGAATTGTTCCGGGTGGCGTGCGATCAGGCGGAGGAGTTTGTGGAGTCGGTTAAGCAGAGGATCGGATCGGAGTGCCTGGTGGACGAGGCCACTGGCTCCGCAGTGGGGAAGCCCGGGCAGGCTGCCGCACCTGGCCTGCCCCCCATAAGTGCAGTTCGGTTGGAGCAGATGAGTAAAGCGGTCAGGTGTCTCGTCATCGAGCTCCAAAGCGGTACTGGCACTGCTGGCGGAGCAGCACATGCGCATTCCACGGCGCCTTTTGATGCTCGATTCTCCGAAGATGCAGCTCAGTAGGTAACTCCTTGTTTGATACATTTCCTGATAGAGTTGAGCAGGTTGGTTCGTTTCTTATTGGGATTTTGTTTGACAACCGATTGTAATCTGTTGTCATAGTTTGAGGTCGAAGGCCTGTTGGATGCCATGTCTGTATATTTTCGCTGGTCTTCTTCAACAAAGACGCATCTATGTTCTTCATACTTTTGTGCTACCTGGAGCTTTTCATATTTCGTTTCCTTGTAAGTTCGCAGTACACTTAGCTTCTCCATCTCAAGATAGTTCTCTCGTTCAGCACCTTGATGCCTTTGAAATGGATGTATGTTATTCCTCACTTTTCTTATTGTACGAAGCGCATTCGTATACTATCTGGCTCAAAAAATTCTTTTTTTCAGATGCAACCGAGTTTTCAATTGCCTTTTCTTTGTAATTGAAGTATTGTGTTGGTGGTTAGTGCTGCCAATACTCAACTAGTTGTTGGACTTCCTGCAAAAAGACTATGATAAGTTCTTAACCTGCTTCGGCTGTCAATATTATACTGATCCGGCAACTTAATGCAGTGGCACCAAGCTTATGAGATCATAGTTATTGCCTGGATGTGATACCTGGGAAGCATAACCAATGGTGGTTTTTTTTTTTTCTTTTTGGGGGGCGGGGGGTGAGACCCGACATGGGTGTGGTATTTGCAAAGAAGAATGAAAAAAATTCATCATGCTATTACTCGCAGTTGTTCATTTCCTGGCATTGGTTATAGGGTTGTCTCATGATCTCATCTTGTGCATCATCAAATTTACACGATATGCAATTGGCGAGGAACATTATCTCACAAATAAGACTTGGTGGCCAATGGCCATTAATGTCGGTTGCAGTTCATGTACTGGCAGTGTCTTGTGCTATTCAAAGCAGTGAGAAGGAAGTAAAAAAAAATTTGGGGGAAGTTTATAAAAGGTTTTTATTTTTTTTTTTTTTTTTTTTTTTTTTTTTAAAAAATTTTTTTTTTTTTTTTTTTTTAAAAAATATTTTTTTTGATGTATTTTTTTTAAAAATGTCGTTCACTGTTCTTGGTACTTGGAAAACTGGGTTTTCCTCAACTTGGCTGTCTGCTTTGCTACATTTTGTTCTTTTTTGCTTCCAGATGTGCTTTGAATCTTTGGTACTTATGTGCTTTTTTCTAGCAAAGGGTCCATTCGTTCAAGTTTAGGGACCTCTTATACATGCTGTGCACTGCACAAGCCATTGAGCATATTTGGACATCACCAATTTGCTTATCAAGTACTGTCCTTATAATCTACCATGTCTTAATGCCTAGATGTTCCCACGAAATCCAAAAATCATATCTGCTACATTCAAAAAAACTTCTAGGGTGTTTCTTTATCTTCTTTTGGTATTTGGTTTGGAGTGCTACAGAGTGCAACTAAGATGAATTTAGTCATATGGCTAATTTTAAGTTCTAAGAGCACTTGTTACGATGAGAAAAGAGGGGACTATTACTCTCTGTAGCAAATGATCTTCATCATAGATTTGGCAACATTTCTCCAGAAGATGTTATAATTAGCCACTAGAATATTCTTCAATTGGATTAGCCAAATGAATTGTGGTATTTTGGGGTTATCTGACTCCTTTCAAGTTTGGAAAAATATTCTAGGTAGCAGGAGGCTTCTATAATTCCCTGAGGAGGATCGGTTGGGTCCTCCAGGAGATCATAGTAACCCCCCCAATGCGACATTAGTAAGGGATTGGTGGTGGTTCTGTAAATTGCTTTCAATGCAGCTATGTACTACACTTGGAGGTTAGGACTGATAACTCATACAGGAAATCAATTACACATTCTATTTTGGCATCTGTAAAATTTGTAGCTTAGACTACAAGGATCTGTTAAAATTAGAGACAAAGTTGCATTACAGATCTTTGTGCAATGTTTGAAAAGATTGTCTGATTGTATTGGTATGGGCTTGTAGCCACGGAGCAGTCTTTCTGCCAGGTTGTGAAGTTTACAAGTTAGCATCACCCGAGTTGCTTCACTTTGCGGCTTTCAAACTCGCGAAATGGCGCATTTGATTGCAATAAGTAACAACCATTGTGGCTGTGATAGATCTACAGGGGGATGATATCTATTATATTGTTTGTCTTAGTAAGCTATTATTTTGTATGTTTGGCATTGTCTATTATATTTATTGCACAGTTATAGTGCAATGGAAGTTCTAGTTTTCTAATATTGGATTATAAATTATATTCATTTTACAAGTTTACTGAATATGTAATGTGGATAATTCTACTATTTTTTATGTGCAGAAGTTAAGTATATCCTTATAATTCCCTAATTATGATTTTAATATATATGAGGCTTATTTTATAGCTTTTTCAGTTTTGGTTATAATGGAGATCATAAGCGCAACGATCATCATTGCAAACAAGCAATGTAATGCACAGTTAAATGTGTAATAGGTCTATAATGTGAAAGGTATTACCACAGCTATACTTGTTTGGGCCTCTTTGAGCACCCGACGGATCCCAAATTGTGCGTGGCAATCATACCAATCCAACACACGTCAGGTATGTGTGGGAGGCACGCATGTTTGTGCTCTTTGGGGAAAATGGGTCCGACCGGTCCTCATCGAGTGTTGCAGCCTTCCTTCCCGTACGCGACGGATAATAACTATTCACATTTCTATGCTTTTTGGAGTCGCGCCGGAGAAAAATGGCCATGCATCTGTAAATCATCAAAGCCTCCTATGCCTGATTTAAGAAACTTTGTAGGCATTGGATGATAGAATGGATGTGATAGAGATGAGAATGGCACCAGATCTATGGTCACGCCGAAAAGACATCTAATGAATCTATTTAGATGAACAAAATGTTAGTCAATGCAAAATAAAATGAAGAAAAAATCATTCGAGGTGCCCTCTTATATATTTGCGATTGCTAGCTATTTTAAAAGTTCTGCGAACCTTGTGTCCAAAGGAATTGCGGATAGGTCAAGTATATTATAAGCCTTTTTTCTTTTTTTTTTAAGTTTCTTTCAAAGAAAAATTCTGTGAGATGTTAAACTCTTAGAATTGATTTGGACGTCCTAAATACTTCTCCTAAATCAAAGCAATCACAACCCCCGAACTGTCAAAAGATTTAGTAATCATTGCGATGTGGTTTGCCTTCGAGACTTCCATAAAGACATGTCTTTGGCACTCTTGATGTTTGGTGAATGTTTAGAACACCAGTGGGAAAAGCAAACATCATTGGGTCTCTCGAGTTCAATCCAAGACTTTACTCCTATCTCGTAATCATTTTGTCTTTTTTCCTCTTGGGCTTCTTGTATCATTCTCGATTTTATCAATCGTGATCTCATCTGATACAACGTGAAATTTGTATTTGAACTCTTCCCATTTCCCTTCTCTTTTTGCACAAAGAGTCCTTTAAACCCACGAAATTGTCGCATCGCTGCTAATTAGGGCGTAAGGGAGTTTCCAGCTCGAGAACTGAAGTTTTTTTTTTTGGTAAGGTAAGATGTATATTGACTTTTCAATGCGTAACATACAAAGGTTGTAGTCGAAACACAAAAACCTCGTACATGAAATGACGCACAAAGTATCCCAACAGGTGCAAAGGTGTAACGGCTAGAGAGGGCTCGAAAGCATCAAACGCACAATAGAGCAGGGCCAAAGACCAACCAACAAACTACAAAAGAAAAGATACAACAACCCAAAGGGATTATCAAAGATGGTAGGCGAGATGTCCCAATTAACTTGGATCCTCTTTTGCGAGGGTTATCTTCAACAGGTTTGAAGGACAAACCTCTATCCCTAATGAGCTTAGAAAGATGTTGCCGTAAGGCCGGCACAAAGAGGGTGTTGACCAAATCGACAGGATCCTCCTATTTTGGTAGGAGAAAATTATAGGATATTCTCCGATTTGGTGTTCTTTCCTTGTTCAATTGTTACTCTGTACATTCCCTGTAATTCGGAAACAATTATGTACCTCTATCAATAAAAAGGCAGCCCTCTCTCAAAGAATTTATAACAAAAGAAACTTTGAGAGAGGATTCCCGAGGACGTAGGCTTACTTAGCCGAACCTCGTTAAATTGTGTTTGCGTTCTTTGTCTCTAAATTTATCATGGTATCGGAAGCGGGTTCAAGCCTAACTGTTATTGTTTGTTTCGACGATTTTTTCTAGTTACCTTGTTCTTTGTGTTGTCACCATGGGAGAACAGGATGCCGAAGAAATTGCCGGATCGCAACTCCTTCTACCAAAGGTCTTCGCAAGAATCTCACAACCAACGTCTCACGAACATGCTTACGAACGAAAGGAATTTTCTTCCTTGGTCACGAGCATGTAACCGTAGCTCTTGGAGGCCGTTCGAAACTCGGCCACATCAATGGTAAAATCAAAGCTCCTCCAGAGAAGATGATCCGGATACGAAGAGTGGGCGGCCGGTGACAACTCTGTCATGTCCTGGATCTTCAACTCCATGGAGCCCCAAATCTACGAGATTTTTGCATACTCCAATTCAGCTCAAGCACATGGGATGCGTTGGTTGGAATGTATGGTCAACTCGAAATGCCTCTCGGATTTTTGAAATCCATCAAGAATTGGCAAGTTCAAGGCAAGAAGAGAATCAATCATTTACCTTACACCTCGGAAATTTCAAGAGGAGGTGGGACGAGCTCGAAACGATGCGCCCCGCCACTCAATCCGGCTGCGATTATGTTCGCAGAGAGGAGGAAGATCGGATCTTTCAACTCCGGCTAGCCTTCGGAATACGATAATCTTAGACGACATATCCTCATGAGCCCAATCTTGCCGTCCCTCACCGAAGTCGTGCCACGATCCAGGGAGAGGAAACAAGGCGTCGAGTCATGAATCCGGCAGACCGGCGAACATAAAAGCAAGCTGCCGAGATTTCGGCCCACAATGTCGTAACCAACAAATCGGCGGAGGCGTCACTAGATTTGCCAAGGGAAAGACGAAGAAAACCGGTCGTTTCCACTTGTGAACTTGTGATCGTGATGGTCACACCAAGGACCGTCTTGGGTTCTTCATCCTCACTTGCGGGTTGGTAGAGAGAAGGGCCGGAAGCAAAATTGGTGCCCAAAATGATCCAATTAACCCGATGAATTCAAGGCCAAACTTGAAAGTCTTGCGAATCAATTTCAACAACTTTTGCGGGCCAAGGGTCCAACATTAAGGCAATTGGATCAAGCGGCTCATCTTGAATCAAGCCACATGGTTCAAACTTACGGTAAGGTGTTCTTGACTCGGTTCAAAAATCGGTTTGTTATAGACTCGGGTGCCACCGACCATATGTGTAATTCGGATCAAATAATGGTTAAAGTTGTCTCCAATGATTATCCTCCTATTACGTTGCTAATGGAGCACAGTCCCGACACAAGGAGCAGGAAAATTTAAGATGTTGTCTAAGAGTTCTATCGCTTTGATCGTACCGATTTATCTTCAAATTTATTATACGTTAGTAAGTGTACGAAAGAATGGCGCAATGTCATTTTTTCTCGCTTCTAAGGTGTTACTTCGGGATTGCATCACCAAGAGGACGATTGGTGAAGGGAGGTTGCAGAATGGACTCTATGTCATAGATCAATACCCCAAGGCATTGAGTGCAATCCGGAATGCTAAGAAGATGTCGAACTATGGCATAGACGCATGGGTCATCCGTCGATCGGATTTTACACACTCTTGATAGATCTTTATCTCATGATTCTAGTTCATGTGATTGTTGTCATTTCGCCAAACAACATAGACTTCTTTTTCCTAAGAGTACACATTTCTCTTGAATTATTTGATTTAATTCATTCGATGTGTGGAGTGCTCCCATTGAGTCTCGGGATGGCTATAGATATTTCATCTCTTTTATTGATGATAAGTCTCGCGCTACATGTGTATTCGCTCAAAACCAAAAGTGAGGTTCTTATTGTTTTTCGGGAATTTTGTGCTATGATACACAATCAATTTAAGACAAACATGAAAGTGTTGCGCACGGATAATGGGACGGAATACACCAATCAAGCATTTCAAGCTTATTTGCGCAACTTGGGTATTATTCATCAAACTTCTGTGTTGGGACGCCCCAACAGAATGGCATAGCGAAAGGAAAAATCGTCATCTTCTAGAAGTTACTCGGGCCTTACTTTTTTCGGGAATATGCCCAAAACATATTGGAGCGAGCTATTTGTTCTCACCGGTTGCTATATTATTAATCGGCTCCTAGCCGAGTGCTTGAATATAAGATTCCGGTAGAAATTTTATATGGGAAGAAGTTCAATGTCTCACATTTGAGGATTTTTGGCGGTACATGCTATGTTCACTCGAACGATGGTAAACTCGATCCACGTGCTCGGAAGTGCGTGTTCGTTGGTTATTCTTTAGCTAAAAGGGATACAAGTGTTACGAGCCCACCACAAAGCGCCTCTATATATCCCGTGATGTTCACTTTGATGAGACTAATATGTATTATTCGACGGGAGCCAACTTCGGGGGAGTACACCAAACTCTCAACAGATTATGGAGAAGTTGCCCCTGTCCCTATTGTGCTTCACTTTGTCCCTATTCTTTGCTTCACTGTGGTACCCACGAATGTACCCACTTTAGAAACAAGGGATGGAGGACGATTAGAACATGACACCGAGCTACAGCAAAATCTAGAGCCGATGGTGAAACTCACTGGGAAGAAATCATGACGGAAGAATTTTGGAGCATCTTCACCACCGTTCGCCCGATCTATGAGGATTTCTAGGCCCTCTGCTAGACTTCGAGATTTTACCACATATCACACGATACAGTATCCCATCCAAGACTATGTCAATTATGACAAAATTTCGCATCAATTTTGGTGTTTCTTATCTACTCTTGAAAGTTCAAAAGAACCCAACGAGTTATGAAGAAGCCAAACATCAATCGGTGTGGATTACGGCTATGAACGAGGAACTCCGGCGCTTGATAAAAATCACACTTGGGATGTGGTGCGATTACACGATGGAAAGCGCTCTGTTGGTTGTCGTTGGATTTACAAGATTAAATACAATAGTGATGGCTCGGTCGAAAGGTATAAAGCTCGCCTTGTAGCTAAAGGCTACACCCGGACCTACGGCATTGACTACAAGGAGACATTTGCTCCAGGTTGTGAAGATGAATACGGTTCGTGTTCTTATGTCGGTGATCAATTGTGGGTGGTCGCTTTGTCAAATGGACGTGAAAACGCATTTCTTCATGGAGACCTTGAAGAAGAAGTGTATATGGATCTTCCCGGGTCATGCCTTGCAAAATGAAGAAAGGATGGTTTGCAAATTAAGGAA